CCCAGATGATTTGTTTGACATTTCACTTGAGCAGAATCAATGGCCATAATTGGCTGAGGGCCGAGTACTTTTTGTCTGGTTATACATACCCTGCCTACTTGTTTCGGTGATGCTTTTGCATGTTCGAATGGTTTTTCCATCAAATTTTTTATGACATAGAAGCAAATAAACAATTTTTCAAGCAATGAATGAAGGGCACAAGGATGCCTTGGCAAAGATCATGACATGTTGTGTGATCCTACAAAACATGATCATCGAGGTAGAGAGGATATGTCTAGCCCAATGGTCTATGAAAATGTTGGCACAACTGTCAGGCTTCGTAGGCACACAAACCGCATTCAAGCATTTCTCGAGGCCTACCAAAAGATTGAAGACCGGGCTCCATGATCAGCTATGTGGGACCTCATTGGAGCTAGTTGGGAGATAGTGCGTTTATATTTCTTTAAAGCTTTTTTACTTGAAATTTTTGTTTAATTGGATTACTTTTTGTATTCGGATTAATGATTTGTATTAGTATTTATTGAATTTTTGAATTGTTCAATCTAAATTCAAGTAGTAGAGTAGATAGAATAAAACAGAAAATTAATATGGAGACAACATTATCGTGACTTTGAGTTTGCGCACAATCTCCGCAAATCTCCAAAAAAATATTATGAAGCATGCTTCATACACACTATGGAAGCTAGAAATTAAGGCGAAAAATATGAAGCATGCTCCATACGCTAGAGTTGCACTAAGTTTAAGGAAAAGATTGTTAACATGTTTACACCTAAATCAGATTCACTAGTACTAAAAAATTAAAATAATTTATAAACGTTTAATTAGTTTATTGATGGTTTATAGAACATGGAAACAACCAAATAAATACCTATAAATACATGATGCAAAAGGAACAAAGATGAGTAAAGAAAAAAGGAAATTCAGAATAGAAAGGAAAGAAAAGTAAGCAAAACCAAAATATTAAATAAATAAACGGGGGAGGGGGGATAGCATTCACCTTAAATGGGTCGCACCAAATCCATAGTAGTGGGGCGACCACACACATGAGGAGGCTAGTTAGAGGGTACCTGATGCGGAGCATCCTTCCATCATCCCCATGGACTCTACACCAACACATCAAACACCACGTGGACCGATGACAAGAGCTCGAGCACACGCAATGGTAACCGAGGTGAACTCCTTCCTATTTGACATGCATACGAACTCGAATGCAACTTGGTTACTACCTCACCAAAATGCTCTATGTATCATTAGGTACGAAGAAGGACACTTCCAAGCAGCTAAGGAGCACCACCAAGTAGAAGGAGAAGCACCCCAAGTCACCAAGGAAGAAGGAGGAGTCCCACAGGAGCAGGGCGGGAAGTCCCAGGCGACCCCGTGTGCACGGGCCCCCGAAACCCCATGTCCACGGGCTACACCGGGAGCTACGGCTGTAGCACCCTGTGTGCATGGGCGTGTACCGTGCGCACGGGCCCTGCATGATGGTCGGCTGAGATCTGGTTTTGGGCCTCCACTTCATCCACCTCGCCCCCAAGCCTATATATTTTGTACCTAGGGTTATGTTTAGACTTAGCAAAGTATTGGATAGACATTGAGAGAGCTTTGCTCATCTTTCCCCTCCTCTTGGAGATCAAGACCCCTCTAGGGAAGAACCCTAGTAGATTATTAAGGCCTCCTCTTGGAGAAGATCAACACCAAGACCTCGCCTCCTTTGGAGTGGGAAGAACTTTACCCTAGTGCTATTTTCCTTCAATTGTTCTTGTATGCTTGTGGATCTCATGTATGCTATTCTAGTGGATGTGTGATTTGGGTTTTGTTTGAGTTTCTCCCCTTGTGTTCTTGTGTGTTCATCAATTTCCCCACCTCCAAGTGTGAAAAGATCCCCTCTAGGGTTTCACCCTACAACATCTTGGTATCATGAGCAAGGTTGATTCACATCTTGGAACCCATACCCCCCATTTGCTAGCTTGATTTTGTTGTTTTCAAGCATAGGTGTGCTTTTGAGAAACCGTAGGAGTCCTTCGCCACGAAGCATAGGTGTGCTCCCCCTTGGTGAGGTACGTACAACCGGAAGAAAAAAGGTGAAGCATGTGTGTGCTTCATCACAGAGCACAGATGTGCTTCATGCGAAGTGTAGGTGTGCTCCGAAGGATGGAGCGCAGGTGTGCACAAAAGGGGGGGAAATAGGTAGTGCACAAATGCGCTTCAGATGGAGCACATATGTGCTTCATCATGAAGTGTAAGTGTGCTCCGACGGATGAAGCACGAGTGTATCCTGAAAAGAAAATAAAATGAAGCACGGACGTGCTCCGTGGACAAGCACATAGGTGTGCTTTGTCGTAAAGCATGTATGCTTCATTGGGGCACAAGATGTGCTTCGCTACAAGCATAAGGTGGGCCTCATGGTGAAGCACAACTATACTTCACGTGGCGGAGCATATCCACATCAAAAAAGAAAAAGGAGAAAAACCTACACGATTCTCTCTCCTTCCACCACATGTCAAACACGGAGCACACGGGAGATTGACACTGGCGCGCGACGCAAAGAGCTATGCTGAATAACCCTTAACCGTGATTTTGCTGAAGCAATCACGAAAAAAGATGGCAAAAAACAAGGCCATGAGAGATTGCATGCATGTCTCTCGGTGAGCCGGCTTTCGAAAAGCACTAACCGTCACGTGTAAATGTAATCCATTTTGTCACGACGGTTTAGACTCGAGAGTTTTTTTCTAGAAAAAAGAGAGGGGAAAGAGAATTCTGCGTAATAGCTGAATGTGAGTCTCTCCTTAACCTAACTCCTATGGCTTAGCATATTGTTCAACGACTGTCGTAAAGATTAAGCTCGTGAACTGCTTCCAGAGTTCTCGTCTAGTTTCCACGTTAAGCTGAGCCCGATCACATAAACTCCATTCGTCACCAATCCAGACTCACACTCACAGAGACACCAGGCGGATGAAGACGAAAAGACTCTTCAAGTTTCGTTTAGCAGGTGGTTGCTTAGCCCCAAAGGCTCGGTGAGTAGAGTTCATCAACCATTCCTCTTGGGAACTCTTGCCTACAGCTTCACGCCTTCACTTGCCAGAAATGGTTGACAACGTGCTACCGCCCCCTTCACCTTTCCTGGCCACAAGTGGTCCGGGTTAGGCAAGAGAACCTTTAGGTTAGGCACTTCATACCAAAGATTTCTACATGTTCAAGTTCCAACAAGCAGAACGGCCTCGCCTTGTGCTTCACCAATGATCCAGGTACAGAGGACAAGATCCAACAACTAATGGTTCCTGTTATTAAGAATGGTTGGCCATTGAAGAACTGATATAGGAAGGAAGACCAAATATATTCACCCGTTGCTCAAAACTTCAATAGGCCACCAGAAATTACCGGTGAACCAGCAATATATTATGGTGAATCCTTTTCACCTCAAGTTAGATATGCATCAAGAACAGGATATATAGTGTACCTTTTCTTGAGATTCACACCTCAGAAGTCAAGGATCCTGAGATTCTACAGCTCCAGTCACAGCATGAGTGATTGCATGAAAGGGACCTTCGGTCGAAGGAAAACATGTCAACAACAATAAAAGGGCCTAATGCAAACAGCGGCCAAATAAATAAATAAAAATCTCAGCATATGGAGCACACAATGAGAACATGCAAAGATATAAAACTGCAAGTGCAACAGAGAAAAAAAATGATTTCACTGCACGTCTACCAGTCGTGCTCAAGGGACCAATACTAGAAAGGGACGAACCATTATAAAGTTTACAATAATATAAGCAGAAAGATGGGCATCAAAAATTTGACAGTAACAAGATGTGAAGCTTCCCGTATACTGTTCGCTATGCCATCCCTCTCATGCTTAATTTGGCAGTTTTCCTTGTACGGGTTATATCTTGATCAACCATACTTCTGCCAATTATGCATTACCTTACCAGAAAGACCTGGTTGTCTATATTCATGACCTTCATCCAAACTTTTCTTCCTGCTCACCGCCCAACACATGTCAGCTTGCATCCTAATCCACATGTTAGCTTCTTCTCATTATATACGCAGTGCTTTCACCAATCCAGGGATTGCAAAAATTCCTGACAGATTGTTAATTGCTGAACAAAATACATTACTCATACAATGATGCAATCAGATTAACAATAGCCATGGATAAACCTCAGGACAGAAAAATAAAAGCATAATTATTGATCACTTGGGATTATGATTGCTACTCTAGTAGAATACAGGTGCATGTACCCAGAGGCCAAGTACTTTTCAATGTACATGGTAACACAAGACAAATCTCGTCCAGAAGCGTAAACTAATATCATGCTTTCTAGTCAAATACTACCTCTGCAACTTAATATAAGATGTTTTTTAACACTATGACAGTGTCAAAAAACGTCTAATATTAAGTTACGGAGGGAGTATTAACTTGGCCATACGCTTGCATGGTCCTTGCAGACATAGTCCCTACTCAATTCACAGTTTCACACTCACAGGAAAGACCACTGAAAAATGGTACACTGGCCCCTTAGATTTCTACAAAGTTCAGGCAACATATATAATAGTTCGAGCTAAAAGGAACAAAAAGTGGTGTACTCGATAATCTGCATTAGAGTGTATATGCATGAGAAGCGCCCACAAAGAAAACCGCATAAATATGGACATTGCTTGAGCAAGAAACTTCTGAGAACTAACACCAATGATGATGCTTCAGGAAAGTTGGAGAAAGTCTATTCAACCAGACCAGGCTTTCAGGAATCGCTTTATGTGGAGAGAGCCTGCAGTGATTCCATTGTAAAGAAACTCTTGAACCACCACACCTACTGCATCCTTCTCCTTGCTTCTTAGCTTGGCTTACCATCTTCTCTAAAACAACCGTGCTCTGCCCCCCAATATAAGTACTCACCTGCTGGCCAAACAAGATGCTAGAAGCCAGGTAGACACTGAAACAGGAGTTTGGGCAGAGTAATAGGGCCACCTCTCTTTGGTCTGTGTGCAGTATCAAGCGAAATGGACAACAGCATGCCTGTAGTCAGTAAGATGTATTGCTCAAGCACTCCAGCGGCGCTGATGATCAGGAGAAGACCCATGGTAGTGAATGGCGGTGGTTTTGTTGTTACTGACTTTAGTCATAATGTTGTTTTCATTGTGGATGGTTGTGGTATACTTGGATCTAAGGGGGAGCTCATGGTGAAAGACAGTGATGGAGAACAGATACTATTCATTTCTAGAAAGGTAATACATCATAAGTTGCTGAATAGTAACTCGTAGATAGGCTTATTTTCTCTATTACCAGTTGTTTGAAGTGCTTCACCTGAATTAAAAGCTAATCGATTAGGACTGGAACTATTTGCTCCATGAATTTATTCTGATTCCTATGTACTTATTTATGTTATTC